GTTGTCTAAATGACCAACACTCTTCCTAAAACAAACCCACAACAACATCCTTTCATTCTTTGGAATCTAATCGATACCCTAAATCAAACTAAAACCCGACACCATAAACGACGACGTGGCCTTAGACGCGACTACCTCCTCCGGCGAGGGTCACTCTTAAGGTAAATGTATTCTTCTCTCAATTTCCCTCTACTGTTTTTATTCTTGAAGCACATACACATAAAAGAAAACGAAAGAAAGGAAAATATTCCAATGAACCCTTTTTTATTGCATATATTTCGAAAATCTGGAGGGAGCCTCGGTTTCTTCTCTCAATTTCCCTCTACTGTTTTTATTCTTGAAGCACATACACATAAAAGAAAACGAAAGAAAGGAAAATATTCCAATGAACCCCTTTTTTATTGCATATATTTCGAAAATCTGGAGGGAGCCTCGGTTACAAAGCTATTACAAAATGTCCCTTTTTTTAGAGAATAATCAACGAGAGAGAGGGGAAGTCTTCCTCTCTGTTTTTTCTTTCCCCCCCCCCCTCTATTCGTGTTTTTTGCTTGCCTCCTCTACTGAAATGGTTCGAATGCCTCCATTTAATCTTTCTTTTTTTTTCTTTACATGCAAGATGATTGGATAATTGAATCATTGATTAATGGTGGATTAGGTAAGATTAGGTGGGATTTTGATTGGGTAGGTAAGGTTTGTTTTTTACTTTTGTATTTAGTGATGATGAATTTGGGGCTGCTAAATGACGATGCTTGTTGGTGACAATTCTAGAAGCCTTCGATTGCTGGAGTGGAGCGTTTTGGGTGGCCTGCAACAGTAATAAATAATATTAATAAAAATAACAATAATATTAATAATATATAATAATAATATTTTTTTTAAAACCCGAACAAAAACGGGTTCTACACTCTTGAAAACTCTAAAGTAACTGGGATAGACATGATTGCTAAATGAACTAAGTAACCTCAATGATTGAGGATTAAATAAGTGATTCGGATGAGTCTGGAAACATTGTTGAACTTACATGATGAATTGTCCTTATGGGTCATGAACCATTAATCAAGTACGTCAGTATTTCCTCATATAGTTGAAACGTGGTAATGAAGTAAAGACCATTGGAATATATGTTCATCTCTTTAAGACCTATTCGACAGTAATTTTGAAGATGATATATGAACAAGAGTTGTTGGTATTAAAGAGTAAATACCCTGGAAAGATAACAAATTGATGGGTCGACATGCAATAGTTTTGAGAGTTGTTCAGTTCGAATTGTTCGATAACACGATCAATCATCATGGACTGTAAATGTCCTAAATCTTCATTTCTCCTTTATCAACTCAAATTACTCCGGACATTCTTGAACATTCTCCTGATGCACATATAAACATAGTGGGATTCTAAAGTATCAACCTTAAATGTCTGATTAGATCGATTAATAATCGATTGTCTCTAATAAGACATTGTTCCTATAATCCGATCAAGTTACACAAGTTCATGTTATCCATACAGATAACTACAAAATGCCTCTGAGAAAAATACTTCTATCCTCTAGTGTGTTCCATAGGTGGCTTTATATATTTTAAAATGAGATTTAACGAAAGTATTGGTTTACTGGTTTATGAACCATGGCAACATGATATATGATCTCCAATTGTGGTTTTCATCAAAAAATATGAACTTTTCCTGATTTATGGAATCATGGAAACTAATGGTTTATGAACCATGGTTTATGTTTCACTGGTTATACTAGAACTGTTTTATTGGATATTATATGGGTAGACTGAAGTACAGCTCTAATCAAGCTGTAAATTTATTTTTATGGACCTAAGGTGATCCTTGGGTAGGCTCTCATGCCCTAAGGTATTCCCTCGGGTTAATTATTTAACTACTTATGGTGTACAGGTGGAAATTGGTTATATGATCTATTTCATTATCACGATTGTGACATATTACTAGATTACGATCCAAGTATTACAATTTACGGCTAAACTGATTTCTACTGGATTTTTATTATGGATAGGATTCTGAAGTATGGAGGCATAGCTCTGATCCAGCTGATAAGACCATACGGATCTAAGGATACCCTTGGGTAGGCCCATAGGCCCCAAGGCATATCCTTAGGTTGGTTCCCTTTGTTGTGTGCAGGTAACCCTACGGATCTAAGGATGTCCTTGGGTAGGCCCATAGGCCCCAAGGTATATCCTTAGGTTGGCTCCCCTTTTGCTATGTGCTGAGGGCAAGCCCTACGGATGCAGTTCTGGGGAACTGCATAATGGAGTTTGGTTGGGGGTGAAAACCGGTATATGCCTGATTCAATAAGGAAATTATATGGCTTTCCGTTTATTTGCATGTCATGTAGCATCACCTGGTAGTTCTGTATTACTGAGCTTTCCGAAGCTCACTCTATTACTCATATTTGCAGGTTAAAAGAATTGTACCAGTGCAACTATCGACATCAATAAGGGTGTTTTTCCGGCGTTGGTTGTAGAGTATGGTACATGTGATTAGGGGGCATGTAATTATATTTTGTTTTATATATGAGTCTGAAAATATGTTTTATTTGAATATGGATAAATTTTATTTTGTATTCATAAATGATTTTATGAGTTTACATTTGAAATTTAATTATATTTTTATTTTAACTTCTAATAAATTTTCGTTTAATTATGTAATTTATTTTGTTAATTTTATATATGGATTATATATATTATAGACATTTAAATATTAAATTTTAGAATTTTTATATACGAGTCTGAAAATCTGTTTTATTTAAATATGGATAAATTTTGTTTTGTATTCATAAATGATTTTATGAGTTTACATTTGAAATTTAATTATATTTTTATTTTAACTTCTAATAAATTTTCTTTTAATTATGTAATTTATTTTTTTTAATTTTATATATGAATTATATATATTATAGACATTTAAATATTAAATTTTAGAATTTTTCTATATACTTTTTAAAAATAATATAATTTAAAAATAAAAAAACTATAAACCGGGTCCCCGTGATCCAATAATATGAATACATGAGTTTTAAGAGTACTCGACTTACGGATACCCGGATATAATAAATCGATACATGAGCCAATTTTGTGGTACCCAAAAATTATAAATATCTTGTATTTTGAGTATTCGAAAATACATGTAGCTTATTCCAATATATGTGCGCATATAACACTGGTATAAATACGAGCAAAATAGATTACCAAGATGAAATATTCAATCGTTTTATAGAATATCGTAGAAACTCTAGAGGCATCAAAAAATTTCTTTTGACTGAAATACTTCAATGTACAGTGGTATTAATCATTGAATGCGTATTATATGTATAAGAAATAAAAGACGATAGACTTTTATAATTCATATAAATCACCACTATATGGATATCCTATCAATTATTTTAACAATTAAAAGGCTACATCAAATTAAAAAGGTAGAATATATATCAAGAATCCTTCAATATACATAATATGTTGATGATAAAATTTAATTACTTGTATTTATTTTGAGACTGAACTTTTATTATGGACATATGTTTTCTTTAGTCTTGTTCTTGATTAACCTATCTTCTTCTAAGTAGAAAACTTTCAGTATTAAAAGTATGACTCACTAAAGATTTCAATATGCATGCACAACCTTTTTACTTAGATCTCACACATTACAGGATAGAGGTTTCAGCGGGACGAGAACAATTTCTAATAAACGTCAATAATAGAGACATTAGAATCAAAACAAGAGAATAAATTCAACCTCAAGCGTTAAACAAAATAAGCGTGGGATCTTGCTAGTGATGTAGTTCTTTCAATGTTTAACAAAATAATAAAATAAAATTCTAAGGATTTAAGCTTACCTCAAATTAGACAGAGACAATCCTTGATTTCAATAACATGAACAACAAGGAGAAGAGATATAAGAAAAAAGAGAGAGAATTGTATTATTATCTCAATATGAGTTGTGTCTAATACTTTCTCTAACCTCTCTTTTTGTAGCCATAAGTAGTAGATGTAATATAGAACTCTAATACTAATAGATATTAGAGATCTAATCAAAATTCTATCTTATACATAAATATAAATATCCACATAAATAAATATTCATAACAAAATATATATATCAAGTTATTTGCGCATAAAATTATTAAAAATATATAAATTATAAATAATAGAAAATTATATTTTCTATGGAATTTCATGTAAATACTTAATTTTAATATTGAGAATTTAACTTGCTAAAAAGAAAATATATCTCAATGATGATTTGGTAAAACATATATTTTTCTTATCTTTTAATCTTTCAACCAAACACTGTAATTTTAAATTCATTCCAAACAAGATAATGCAATATTCCAGTAATGTATTAAGTAATGCAACATTCTGGTAACATTATAATCATATTCCCAATTATAATCTTATATTTCGTGAATCAAACCCCTAAGAAAATCTACAATCAGTCTTTTTTATACCTACATGAAATTCAATTATTATTTTAAAATCATTAATAAATATGATAGGTAAATTATATGTATACTTCATGAAGTAAACAATGATATATAATCTAATGTTACTAATAATATAAAAAAAATTAAATACCATTATCATTACATTAAATATTAACTAATATATCTAATTGAATAATCTAATCTTAATCAATTTTGATAGGGTGAATCTATTTTAAGAGATTATTGACGACCTCTATATTTGGAGTAAATATTGGAAATATTCAAGTAAAAGGCTAATGGTATTACTAACCAGAACGATTTGATAAAATGTTTGAATATAATCAAGTAACCAGATGTCGATATGTTTGAATATAATCAAGTGGAAATATGTGGTAAATGCTGGAAGTAATTAATTAGACAGTGATAAAATATTAAATTTGTAGTTAGCAATGATTATATATAAACCATTAATTACACGATCCTATTTTGTGAAAACAGGTATATATTTTGTGGTATATAAACAGTAATTATAAGAACAGAGATCGTATTGTGCCAAAGTATGGTGCAAATGTAGTAGTAAAGGGACTAAAATCATAATTTAACATTTATTAATTGATGGTTTTAACTGCAGTTTTTTATCATTTTACATGATTACACCACGTATACATTGGTTAATAATAAAGAATAAAGAAACCAACAAAGTTGAATAAATTAGATTAATGGGATGAAATATTATATTCGAATTTTAATATTTGCTAATAAAGTATCAAGACTGGGCCTGAATTTGGTTGATAAATTGGAAATGAGGGATTAATTAAAAATAAATAACATTTGTTGCGATTATTTTAACAATGGATGGTTAATTTGATTAATAAATTGCAGATGGTCTCTAATTGCGGGGAGTCTTCCTGGTCGGACTGACAACGAGGTGAAGAACTATTGGAATACACATTTGAACAAGAAAATTTGCAGTGTTTTAGGCAAAAGAAAATCCATTCATCACAACAACAACAACAATCGTTCGATTGATGAGAATCAAGAGGGCAATAATTCTGAGCCGCCGATCATCTCGAGTCCAAAAACGACGACGGATTTTGACGAAGGATCAATGGATTTGGATGATGAGAAGATGATGATGATGAAGGAAGAAGATATGATCCATGGCTTTACGGATAACGCGTGGATGGAGGGAGCAGTTGAGTGCTTCAACTATGACGATTACTCCCAGGTGGAAGCTCCGATGATGATGATGATGATGATGAACCTCAATTCTTCAGATTTGGTGTTCGATGAGGAGCCCTTCACGCCTTGCCTCGATTCTTTTCGATGCATTCTGAGGTCCGAACCCAATCCTTCTTGCTTTGGAGCGCATGAAGAAGGGCAAGTGGGGATTATAATTTTAACTTAACCACTACTGACTTTGGTCCAATATGATTAAGTTAAAAGTTGTAATTCTTTTCTTTTCCGGACTTCTGTTTGTTTTAAAAAGTAATCTTTTAAGAGTTAGTTTTATGAAATTTTTAGCTTAATGTATTCATTTTGTTTAAATATATGTACATGACCATGTCTCCTACTACCATCTATCCTCTCTGTTACTTCTTTGGCCTTTTTCTTTTTGAAAACAAGAATTGAGTACTTTTATTCACCCCTACTTACACGTTGCCATTTTGTTACTGTATAGGCATTCAAAATTAGATGATTCCTGTTCTATTTTCTTTAACGTCATAGGTTACATTTAGGGCCCGAATCTAAATCTCAATATCCGCAAATTTAACGGTTTACATGAAGAACAGGGCTCAAAGAAGGCCTTGTAACGGCACCTACTAAACACCAAAAGTTTTGTGGGATTAAAGTTAATAGGATGCAAAAATCGGTGCATCAAGCTACTATATATTTGACATTATAATTAACGAGTTGTACGAACAGCCAGCTTAGCTGTCTAAATCGGCAACAATCTCCGGTCGAAGACATAATGTTGGTTGTGTAGGCTGAGATGAGTCTCGCCTCGTCTCTGCATTACTTCATTGCAAGTCAAAGAATGCGATCGAGTGACTTTACCGGTAGCACGATCATTCCAAAAAAGGTTGAGAGTCCATGCAGAGGTGCACCAATTTCCTTTGATATTGCCCAAAATATTCACAGACTGCAATTACATCCTCATTCTCTGGGTTTAAACCAGGCAATTCAACCTGTGTATCCTTCACTGATGATGAACCTGACTCGTCATCTGAACCTATCACATTAGCTATAATTTCTGCATGAATTTCACGGCAAGCCATTATGAACATGGAAGCCGTGTCCGGTTGCTTTGCTTTTCGAAGCGCTGCTAATGCGTCCTGCATTGCCCCCGCCGCTACAAATAATATAAGAGCCCTGCATCCAGCCATTGTAAGATTAAGAAAATTGATCATTCCACAATAAGTACAATACAAAATTTACTTGTACCTCCAAATGTTGTGTTCTGCAGAAAGGACATGCTCAGCCCACCTTTGTAAAACCCTGCAAAAAGAATAATAGGAAATGAAGGTATCGTAACAATTGACCGAAAGCAAAGCCTCTGTTGAAGCATCTTAAAGGATAAAAATAATGATTGATTTTGGATCAAGTTATCATTGAAACTGTAAAAATGGTAGATGATCATGTTAGAAGGAATAAAAGGTGCATCGTTAAATCGTCAAATGAGCAAGTTCAGCTTATGAATGGAACTAAAATTAAGGCTAATGCAAGGGGGGGGAAAACAGAAACCTTGCATAATCAGATCCCCTTAAATGTGCTGCTGCTAAAGTAGCAGCATCAGTCCAGCATCCAGCATCTTGTAGCTGCATAAGGGTTAAAATAACCATCAGTCGAGATACCTTTAGGAATGTGAATACGAAAGAATCCCAGCGACTCTATTACATCCTTAGAACAAGAAAAAGAAAGGCATTGAGTTCGGTTTTGACGATTGTCTTATTGTTTCAACAAACAGAACCTAACCTGTGAACAAGCTTCTTGATACCTTCCAACTGCACATAGAAGATGAATGCCGGACAGTGACCTGTCGGTTCTCACCATGTTAGCAGCTACAACCTAGATTATTGTTATACATCAGTGAAAAAGCAGTCAAAAATTACGACAGTGAGAGAATTATAAAACCTAGAAATTTGCATGTTTTAATCTAAAAAATGAGTTCAGAGACAACCCTCACCTTAACTGCAAGTTCAAGAAGAGACCTCGACACTGCAGATGAAAGAGCAACGGCACGTAGAGCATTTGGATAGAAGTAAGGGCTCTCTGGTGAAGTGGAAAGCAATAAACTGACAGCATTTTCCAAATTCCCTACTGAGACAAGACTGTCATGAAAAAATAGGCATTACAATTACCAGTATGGCAGCCAAAGAACAGCATAAGACTTGACCTGGTGAATGTTACTCTGTAAATGGATTAAGTTCATGATTCAACTGCCCCCTAACGTTGGGTCCCTATCCAAATGCATCCCCACAAAAAAGGTGTGACAGCCACAAGCATTTGGACTTGTAAACAAAAAGATCAATACAGATGAGAAAGTTTACCGCAGTACAAGCTGAGTGAACTTGAACCCTTATACACACAGATTTGAACAAACTGGAGACCTAATAATTTACAGTTATACAGTCCACCAACTGTTGTAATATGCAGCTCCTTGATGCCCATCATATTACAACAGTTTTTTCTTTGCTTCTTTCTTCTAGAAGCAAAAAGAAGTAGAAAAGGTAACAAGCTTCTAAATAGACATTAAATAAATTCTAAACATCTTGCATCTTCCACAAAGATATTGCAGCAACTTCACTGTTCAACAGTTAACATAGGCAATAAAATAACAGAAAGATAGTGAGCTCACTCATGTATACGGTTCTGAATTGCCTCTTCTCCCTCCAGTTTCTCATGCCAAGGGATACGCTCATTAGCACTTTGCCACAAGTCTTCTTGCTCAAAAGCCATTAACCTAAGCTGATAGTGACTCTGCTACCAGAGAACATGTAATGGCAACAAAAGTTTATAAATAACAAGATACAAGAGATATGCAAGCCATGGTACTCACCAATTAAACTATTTGAGCATAGAAAAGTTAGGAAACCACTAAAGACTTACCAATGCATCCCCCCACCCAGTTTCTGGTGTTGATTTCCCCTTTGATGTTATTCTACCAAGTAGAGATGTGTCATCAAGCTCTGAATTTTGTAAAATAGGTGACTTCTCCAGAGACCTTTTTACTAATTTATTCATCAAGTGATTCATAGCACGAGGCAACTGCAACCAGAAAAGTGCTTCTGAGACTTCGCCAAACGTAGCAGCTGCAAAGGCAAACCTTGCAGCACAACCCTTATTGACGATGGTAGCATACAATCTAGCCCTTTCCTCATCAAATAAGCAGCCTTGAGCAATGAACCAAAGGAAAAGGATAAGAATAATTGATCAAATGTTCATTGAAAGAATTAGGTATACTGAAACCTGCCTTCCTTCCTATAAGGTTCTAATGCTTTCAGGAGTAACTCTGGTACTACAGAATCGCCGATAGGTGGTAATTCAATCATGTAGCTGCGAAGATCCCCTGAGAATGACCTACTTCTTGTAACGGCTTGGAGCCTCTGATCTACACTTGTACCTAAAGTATTAAACCAAGAGGGTTTTACACCCAATTGTAAGATCATTCGTAGTGCCTGAAAAAAAATGTCATGAAAATAGATCATTCCCTGAATTCTCATTTAACCTTCGAAACAATGCACAGATAACATGAAGCTTTAATTTATAATGGCTTAATCTTCCCGTTCATATATATATATATTTGCAATAAAGGTAATGCGGTTGCTAGTTAGCCATTAGGGCTAGTAGTTAGCATTTTAATGATTTAGTATCCAAATCATATCGAATGGAGTTTGTTAGAAAACTGAGAACTAAGATATTGCTCAAATCATCCATGAATATAGACTGGTGAAGCATTTTAACCAATATTCAAAAGGAAACTGGTGGTTTAGTGATGGACATGTCTCTGCTAAATAAAAAATAATGCAACATCTGTTATAAAAACCCTTTGGTACTTAGCACCATGCAAATGTGAAAAAAGAAGTTAGTAATATCAATTACTAAGACAAAAATGAATAGGGCAGAATAATTCTTACCAATGCATGAGGTGTAGGAAGCAATATGGGACAACATAAAGGCATCGGCCGGAATCTCTCTTTTATACTTCGTTGGTGAAACCCAGGGATCCTTCTTTTATCATTTCTGTAGGAATACGAGTAACGTTACTAAACTACAAAATCAGAAAACTTCACATAAATAATATCTTAACCAGCATAGCATCATTCATTTGTTCTCAAAGCTAACCCACTGATTGTTTCATCACTTACCTAATCTGAGTACACTAATTTACAATAACAAACAATGTTCATTTAACTCTTCATTTTTCTTTAATAAAAAAAAACAAAACAAAACCTCTTCATTTTTCTTTAAGCACTTGTGTCAGACACATTCGGGCATTTTGTGGAAATATGACCCTCTTAGACACATTTAATTTAAGTATCCAACACTATTTCCTCAAAAAAGAAAAGAAAAGCATCCAGCAGACAAAAAAAAAGTATCCAACACTAACCCAAGGTCGACTTCGGTTACTAATATATAAGTCGTCTTTGCACCCTGTAATTTAGATCTAACTACAATGAAGTTTAAGAACTGTAAACAAATTCTGGTACATACATGATAACCTCATAAAGACGGAAGCTACTATCAGCTCCTGCAATACACAAAACCAGTGGATCATTCTTGTCATTCCACAAAGGCAACCAATCCAATTCCAGTACAAGGGTTCCAGGACATTGAGGTTGTAAAAGAGAATTGGCCAATGGTTCCGGTGAATCCTGCAACTCCCAAACATTAACCACTAAGCTCAAATGTAAAAATACCCTTTGAAAGGTCCTCTCTGCTCAAAAAGCATCGTTAAAGCTAAAAGGTATAACTTCGGTAATCTTACATGATATGTATTTACTACTATGTATTGCAAGATAATTGAAGAAGACATGGTTGGAAGAGAAGAAGCATTGACAAATGAAATTTCACACTTACAAGTTCAAATACAGAAAATGTATTGTCATAAAATAGTACAGCAACACGCCCTCGACTACAGTCCCCAGCAACAACAGGTGAGAACTTGATTCTTCGGATTCCTTCCCTATGAGTGTTGAATGAGGAAGATTGGCCAGTAGTTACATCCCACCACCTGATATAACCAGCCCTGTCCCCCATAACCTGAGAAATTATTGGTGTCGGTGGCTACAGAGAAATCTTCAAAGAAACAAGAAAATATGAACTTCCAATTGGATGAAATAATTTAGAATACAATGCGTACAACATGAGGCAAGCGGTAGGCCATGGCAGTAATCAATCCATCAGATGGAACAAATGAGGAAGTAGGCCATTTTGGTCTGGAGACATGCAAAGGATCCTTCTTAGTGCAAGATTAAAAGGAAGAGCTTATGCAGTGCACAAACAAATTTGTCCAAGTTCCAATACAACCATTTATTTTGGTCCAACTACAAATATTTTATCATTAAGCTGACATAAACGAATGTGCAGTGCATAAAACACATTAAAACTGAATGCTAAATCTACAAGCTAGCTACTGGGACTCAACTTCATGGAGTATAGATGTAAAACAAACTTCATTATGACTAGCTAACTTATAAACTGAATAGAGTAACGACTTACGTCCTAATAATATAACATATGGATATGGATGCAGCTTAATTCCATAACCCTAAGCATGAAGGCAAATTATACCTAAAGTCTCGGATCCTCCTGCCTTGAACCTCAAAGACTCCAAGTGCACCATTAACCAATGCAAAAGCAAAACTCTCAGAATTGTCTTCATGTGAGCCATCTGAGCTCTCTGTCTCGGCATTAAAGAAGTTGAAATTATTATGTAATCACTTTGCCAGACAGAGGTCCAAATAATAAATGAGGGCAAGTAAAAAATCCTACTGGTATCTGATGAAGATGCCGTTGCAGATGAGGCTGCCTCTTCTGGAGCCGCAGCTGTATTAGCTTGAGAGGAAAATAGTGACTGTTTAGAGGGACCATTTTGAACTAGTCGGCGAACTGTTGGAAGAGTCCATTCCAATACCGTGAATGGAAGAGCTAATGATCTAAGCTACATGGAAGCATAGAGCATAATGATTATCTAAATTAGAAGTTTAAACATGTAAACTTAGAAGAAATTTGGTCCATAGGTCATGTTAATTTGTGCATGTTCAAAAATATCAGAATAAACACAAAATCAATGGAAAAAAGCAACGAATTACCTACTAATAAATTATGAAGGTACAAAATAATTCAACATAAAATTCAAGGGGGTAAAAATCTTTAGGGTATGTGGGAACTCATAAAAGAAGAAACACAAGTAAAACCATAAGGTGATTCTCTCTCAATGTAAGAATCCTTCATCTTCACTCTTGCTACTTCAGTACAGGCAATTTGGGAAGCCTAATGAAATACTAAATGGGAAAAATAGTAGAAGGCCAGTAAACCTCAAATGACAACACGTTTAACCCTTTACCACAAAATAGTATCAAAAAGCCAGCAATCTAGTAAAAAAACTTTTTACAGAAGGATATTTAGTGAAACAAAACTCACTGGCTAGAATCCACAAAACAAAAAGGTTAAATTATCAGAAATGTCACAAGCCGTATTGAGAAAGCCATAGGTATCAATCAAACTTACCATGATAGGATTTTTTGTCATTGCCCAAACCTCAACAGGTGCATCTCGAAATATAATCAGAAGATACCTAAAGAGGTTAAGGAATGAGAAGATATTACCATATATATTCGTGAAGTCAAAGAGAAAGCATGTTATACAGAAAAGGGGGCAGAATTTGAAAAACATCAGCACCACTAGTCATTCATATGAGTCTAAAGTGAAAACATATAAAACACTATAAATGTCGCATTATTGACAATCTAGAAGGAATTCTTAAACCACTCCCCCCAAGCAAAAGAGGGACTCCATTAATCCTTATCGTCAAAGTTCAATGTTATGAGGTAATTGCTAAATATAGGAGTAATCAAGAGAAAACCTTCCAGAAGATGATGCCCTCAAAGCTCTTACAGCTGCACGTTCTGGCTTTTGCAAGGCCCGAAAAGTTCTGTTAAGCCCACTTCTAAGACAAGTCACAACTAGTCTGTTATTGTAGCCTCCAATTTTATCATTCACCTGAATCATAAGAGTATTAAAGCAATGATGTTGAAGAGACATAAAGGTCTGCCTGGGGAGGAGGAACTACCTCTTATGCACAGAACAAACAGCACTCTTGGGAACTTTATACGTTACCTCTGTATAAGAAAAAGAAACCAGCCTTGAATTCCCAAGCCATTTTAGACCCCTCACTTTACTACTATGAACCGAAAAACCCGCGGCAACAGCGTTGGCGGAGACATCGATGACATCAATTGTCCCACTTTGAGTTCCCAAAGCAACTAGTGGAACAGCTACTGCAGGACTATTTCCACCACCTTTGCATAATATTATATTTTAATCAATTTGTAAAAGCTTATACGGTCAATTGTTTGACAAGTTTAACAAAAATCGAAGTGCAGGAGGTGGAACTAACGAGCCAAGATAGCGGTTAAGGAAGGGGATGGCACTGCCAGCATGGTCACAGTCGAAGAGAAAGAAGCTGAAGCTGTCCATTTAAGCTGATCTGCAAAAGTTATTTAGAATGCAAGTATGCACGAATAAGCAAAAGAACTTGTAAAGAGGCAAAAATAAAAACCTAGTGGAAAATGGAAAGTTTATTTGCAAACCTTAAATGTAACATCCGGGTGGTCAACTATATAGCCTGGCAGTTGACTTCTGCTACCATTTAATTTGTGCTGCTGCGTGGTACCTTCTACAGTGGATTCATCAATAGAAGAAACAATGGTGTTTGTACTAGATGACTCTGCGTTTACATCGGCATTTTTCGTAACATCATTCTGTGTGTCTCCAACCCCTTCACCAGTTAAGATCCAGCTCCATAGTTTGCCATCGTCAGAAATGGATATCAAATGTGTCTTGGAAACAAGAAGATTATCATCGCAAAAATCGAAAGGGTTATCAAAATCCACATCCGATGTAGCATTCAATGAACCGGAATAAAGCTTGCCGATATTTTGTAGTGTTGCGTCCGCTTGGCTGATAAGGACCGAAAGAAGAAATGGTGAAGGGACATATGAGCCAAATGATGGCATCAAGTCTTCCACTGTGCGCAGTATATGTACCTGTTCTCCTCTGTGAAATATGGGCAGAAATTTTTGTGATTTTAAAATCATTAATAAAACCTCAGTAAAGCAAAAATATTTATGGATTGATGATATAATGTGACATTAAAAACTTTAAAAAACAATTGAAGCTCCAACATGCAATGATAGTATCATATGGAAAAAGAAATCAAGTTCAAAACCAACTCTCAATTGCAAAAATAAGGGTGTCAACAACCTTTTACTCTTTCATCAAGTTCATCCAATGAAATAGATTTAAAATAACATTCATTCATTTCTGTGCAGGAATCTCTCATTTACCAGCATAAATAAATCAGAAAGATATTTCAAAGTTTTACGTCGCACAGTCCCTCTCGTCAAACTAAAACCTTCGTTGCCACATTTCCTAATTTATTTAAATTTGTCTAATTCCTTTACCAACCCAACGTACAGGCTGAGGCTACAGCCCATTGTAAATTTACTGACCCAATCTTTGTTCCTCTTATTCTTTTAGGCCTGGAGCACTCTTTTCTACTTTTATCTAATTAGAATTCTCTATGATAATAAAATTTGGTATTTAATCCCTTTATTCTAATTCGACATAATTTGATCCACAAACTTTTTAAAATATTACTAGCAAGTCCAAATTAGTAACACTGTTACTTGCTTGCTTACTGCTATTAAAGTAATAACGTGGATGTTTTTCACTTTTTTTACAATAAAAATATCATAGATACTTTTCTTACAATAAAACTTAATCAATTTCATCAGTTTCATCACTTTAGATGGATATTGTATCTGGGCTAGGAAATAGAAGTGAAAGGTTAAATTATGTTAAAATAAAGGCACAGTGTCAAAAAATATCCCTAGCATATTAATAAATAGTCACTTTGATCATTATTAACATTTCATTTTAGGCAAAAAAAGCTCATAATGTTTGAATAAATAGTCATTATAGCCTCTATTGTTTTTAGTATTTTAGCCCACAACATTTTATATTAGGACAAAATACCCATGTTTTGGAACATTAATTGTTTGTTGAATAATAATTTTCATCTACAAAGGGGTCCTTATGCGTAAAAATTAAACACTGAGGGACTGAATGTTTCAAAAGATAATAATCAAAGTGACTATTTAATAAAAATATTTGGAGATTTTTTGTCATTATGCCTAAATTAAAAACAGAGGAATGGCATATGAAATTCTAGCATAGTATAGGGAGTGAGTCTAGAATTAAACGTAAATCGATAGTAGCCACGTCAAGTTTAAATTTGAGGGAGGTAGCAGATAATGCAGGAATAATATGGAAACGTGAAGTGCTTACTCTTTCCTCCGCCAGATACTGAGCTTGCCATCAAGATGGGCACAATAAAGCAACTCCTGATTGGGGTCGGGCAACACATCAAGGAACTTGGAGCAGCCGCGCGGCAATGCAGCCGAGAACAGCGTCGTTTCATATTTCAAATCGAAAACCACCAATTCCCTCGGGAATGTCACGTAAATCACGTGTTTCCAGTGAGGCGAAAACGCCAAACGCACTGCATATAGCGGGAAAGCAGCAGAAGCGGGAGCGAAAGTGGAATTTCCAGCCGCAGCAGCATCTCTTTCTAGCTTCAGTAACTCTTTACAGTCAGTTCGAATCAAAAGCTCCTTGAGGGAAATATCTTCTTCTGTTTCCCCCAACACTTTGATTGAAAGAAGGAATCCTTTGAGCCCGAGGATACACAAATGGCGGGAATCGAAAGGATCACGGCGGATACACGACAGATGTTCCGGCGAAGCATCGTACTTGAAGCTGAACCGGTAAGTAGAAGTGTTGAAGAAAGAGACATGAGAAGGGCCCGATAGAGCAGCGAGGAGAAAAGAATCGGGTCGCGCCTGAACCCAACAGAGGTCCTGGACACCCCATTTAGACGAATGATCGGGAGGATCGATGGAAAGGACGATGGAACGCAGGCGAAAATCGACGAGAGAGATACGGCCGTAGCGGTCTGCGGCGGCGATGATGAGGTGGGAAGAGGAAGGCTCGGTGGAGAGGAGGTCGCGGCGGGGAGGGAGTGGAGTCCAACGAACGGAAGTGACGAAAGTAGAGACAGGAGCGGAGGAATTGGGAGGAGGAGAAGAGGAAGGTGGGGAGGGGACATAAGGGAGAGGGACGGTGGTGACGAGCTGGAGGGAACGGGAATCGACAACAGAGACGGAGGAGCCGGAGGCGAAGGCGAGGAGGCCGGAAGGGCTGAGATCGGCGGAGCCGAAGTTATTGCGGCTGGGCGGGCCCGGGAGCATGCAGTTCCAGGGCTCGTTGGACAAAGGATGAAGGATGGAGGTGGACATGTTTTTGGGAAACTAAAATTTTGAAAATCTAATTTTGTAATGGTTTGTTTGTTAATTGTTATGAATTTCATTGAGACAAAAGGAAGATCCGTTAAGCTTGCCTGAAAATACTCCTCTTAGAAACAAGTTGCTTTCTTTTCCCAAATCATTCCTATATATTTGGCTCAACTGCTTTCACTATTTTTTTCTTCCTTTAATAATATTTGTATTAAATCTCATACACATATTTCTTCATAATTCAGGAGGAGCACTCATGTGTTGCTACAATATGGTTATGCACAAGTTATTTAAATTCGATTCAGTTATATTTTAATTAAATAGATTCGACTTAAATTCAAATTCTTTCTTTTTTATAGATAATTTGAGATATAAGATCTTCCATACCTAGAATCAGTTTCCAGTTATGTTTAAGTATTAAACTTTTGCTACTGTTTTATTTACCAGATTTTAGTAATGGTTTGTAAATCTATTGTTTTATTTTCCTTGATTTATTTGCATGTTTATGGTTTCTTACGATTTTGCATACGACTTTCATTACTGTTTAAATTTAAGCTTTTAAAATTATTTTCACGTCTTTCTGACGATAATTGTGACAGTCGACATTCGAGACCTAATATCGGATGTTACAGTTATCATAGTCAATTTTTTTAACACTCGGATTATAAGACTCATAAGAACCACATTTGTGTTTAAAATATATTCCTACATGTATTGATTTCATCATCTACCAAGAAAAGAAAACTCTTTTGAGAAATTTTCTCATGATATTCTTAAAAAGTTTTTGACAAAGCTAGACCTTGATGTGAATCCTACTTAATTTATTTTTTGGGAACCACTACCTCTTTACATAATTAAATATTGAATCATTTCTTCAAAGAAGCATGATCCGATACACTGCATAAAATTGTTCATTTATACACTTTCTAGAACCATTAGATGAGAGAAATTAAAGAATGAGATTAGTAGTTAAATGAAAAGATATTCACTGGAGGAAAAAAACAACGGGTTAATCTCAACTTTTGATTTCCCTCAATCCAATGAAACTGAAAAGGCGTAAAACTAAAAAAAATTTACACAATATAAGTAAATATTTATAATTATGTCTGTCATTAAAATATAAATACAACTCACGATATCTACAATTTACTTTCTTGACATTTTAATACGGGTAACATATTTCATCACTTAATATCCTTGTGTACATATGTACTCAAAATTACGAATTTTAATCAACATATAATTGAAAAATGGGAAAGGCGAACACGTCATAATTTCACTAGGTTATTACTGTTGAGGTTGAGAATCAGTTGAGCAAGGCTCCAATGCCCAAATGTGGTTGAAGACCTCTGAGAGAAAATCTTAAAAGTGATTGTTTTTAGCAAAAATTTGAATAAGAAAGTCATTTCTAATATACATAATGTGATTAAACAATGTATTGTAATTGATTATTCTCACTAAAACCTTAACAGATGTATACTTTTAATGAAGAGAATATGAATACGTTCAATGAAAGACAACTTTAATCTCTTGAACTTAACCAAATACGTTCATTAGTGGGTTCAACAATCATTAGACCAATCCTTGCATAGAAAGAGAAATATACAAAGAGAGTAAAGTTTAAAGCTTCTTAGATAAAAGTTTGCAGTCGTACAGTTCATATACAAGGGGAGGCTTACAAGACCGATGACTTGGAAAAACCAAAAAAAACAACCCCAAAAAATAAGGTCGTAGTAATGGGGGATGAGTGAAACCTCCTCCATACCATAGCCAAAGCCCATCAATCTGCGACCACCCAAACATATAACCGTCCAAAGCAACCATTACAGAACACAGATAAAAGTAACTACATACCCTTTGAAAAAACAAACAAAAACACGCTTAAAACTAAAGATGGGATTCATCTAGAGCAACAGACTTTCATGACTGGAAAACAAAAGAAAAGCTTTAGTCAAGCAATGCATGACGAAGCTTAACTAAAACATCAGGTAGGGAAGGGAAGGGAAGGGAGGCGTCAAGCGAAGTTCCGAACGAAAAAGAAAAAGGATATGGTCATCATTAGTGGAAACCTAAAACCAGGAACCATGGCTATAGAACAGGCTAGCTCCTGTCAAGAAAGCCTGCAAAAAAAACAAAAAGGATGGGTTAAGCCATCTGTAAACTGCCAAAATCCCTAGCATGACTACCTCGTCGAACCCAAAAGCTGTGCTGAATGTTTGCTACCCAGCCATGTGAGCTGACCATATGAGTTCGATGGTTCTATCGTCTTCAACGTTGCAAGTGTATTTGTTTCGAGATCTTAACAGACTTGTATCCTCGATTAGAAAAGGATGTCACATCTCCACAAGGTCTCTACTAGCAGCTCAATAGTTCGAACGCTGATTGAATTGCAGAGCTGAAGATTTAACCCCAACAGGGTCTTGCCCAATTTTTTCAGAAAAGGCAAGCTTTTGTTTGATACTCCGGAACAACCCAAAAATGAAAGGACCTGCAAATTGAGTTGCTCCGCATAAGATAAGGCAGCAACACCAGAATCAGTGATTGCAGACCTTGACACATCCAGATCGCTGAGGAAAACACAGTTATCTGCAATTGCCACTAAACTCACATCAGTAATCCTCCTGCAACCATCGAGATTGAGCAACTCAAGGGTTCCACCATGTAGCCTGGTCAAGGCCAAAACAACTTCATCGGTCAATTTTATGCAGCCACTCAGATTCACCTTCACAAGTCCGGCCTCACAACTCTCTAGAAGAGGCAGAAGACCAACATCTGTGATCCCACAAAGCCCACTCAGATCTAAATGCTGAAGCTGAGGGCACAATTTGCCCAATATAGCAAGGCTGGCTGTTCCAAACCCGGGGCAGTTCCTTACGGACAAGGATTTAAGGGAATCACAAGAGGATAAAGGAGCTTCCAAGGATATATCCTTAATTCCCATGCATTTTACTATGGTCAAAGATTTTAATAAACAGTCTGAGAGGACACCAAGAATCCCGGATTGTGTGACCCTGTTGCACTCCTCCAATTGTAGGCACTCAAGAGAGCCTGTGGACTTGGCAAAAGCCACCAGTCCATCATCTGAAATAAAGCAACACTTGCGGAGGTACATCTGCTTCAGGTTTGTGCACCCCTTTCCCATGGCTTCAAGACTCAGATCTGTTACTCCCCGGCATGATGTAATCGTTAAAGAGACCAATTTTTGCAAGCCTTGAGCATTCCCCATGACCCAAAATCCCTTCTCACTCACGTTTTGTAGGCCGCTAAGCATTAGATTTGTCACCAACTTTCCATATTGCCCAATCACAGCAAGAGAGAAGTCTGTGATGTTCAAACCTTGAAACTTAACCTTTGAAAGGACAGCAGATGTTGATAACAACAGGCTTGAAACTCCATGATCTCCAACAAGAGGGCAGTCCTTGATAGAGATTGACTGCAGCTTAGAGCAAATATTTCCGATAGCTAGGAGGCCCTCGTTACCGATCTTGGGGCAAGATTCAATGCTCAAAGAGGTCAAATTAGGACAGTTCTCTGCAATTGAAATCAAACCCTTGTTTGAAACTGAAGGGCACTGACAAAGGTCAAGCTTCTCCAACAAATGGCATTCTTTAGCTATCTCGGACAGACCTTCATCCCCAACACGAGGCAAGTTCCACAATGAAAGCGTCTTGAGAGAGGGGCAACCACGAGCTATGGCAGATAGCCCAAAGTTGGTTACTCCACGTGAAGAGCTGCTTCCCCTAATAGAAAGCTTTCCCAACCCACCATGACCACTCGTTCCAACGGCAACCGCAGCCAGCCTCATGTCGGTCACTTTCTTCCCTTCCAAACACCTCGTAAGATACCCCTCGTCTTCATCAGATGAGATCATCTCAGCATCATCAGAAACTGAATCAGAATTCTCCTTGACAGCCTTTGATGACTCATATTCGCCCTTGCGAATACTGATCAGAAGCATAAGCCAGTGCTTTGAGACACAAGCACATGAGCTCCTTTCCCGGCCCCCAGGAAGACGTTTGAAGATCTCAAAAAGGCATTCATCAGGAAGGACATCAATGGAAGGTTGCTTCTTCTGCTCAAACACAGTTTCTTGAAAGATAAACGGGGCAATAACTCGAGCTCTTTTACGAGGAGGGTAATAGACATCCACTTGGGAACTGATTGAACACAATCTACCCAAATCCGTGAAATTTGTATAGAAAGAACTCCCATAATAGAAATCATCATCACCTGAAATTCCAATAGAGAAAAAAATAAGGTAAAACTACCTAAAGATCATAAATGTAAAGATCGTTTTGGTTACTCCCAAGAACAATCCTAGCTTTAAGAAACAGATAAAACCACATTCCTTTCTTTTTTTTCCACAAAATCCACCAATTATTATCTAAATTGATGCAAATCTTCATCAATCCAATCCATTCCTCGGATTATATATATTCACATAAGACACATAACTAAAGACTCCTAAATTCTTTTGTCTCCATTTTCTTGTTATAAAACTAAGACTGGCCAAAACAATAAGAACCCATAACTCAAAATCATTACTCTTGGGTGCGACATAATATCGAACACATAAAGGACAACAACAGAAACCCACGTTGTACACAAATTATCTCCATATATATTCAAATAAAATTAAACAGATCTGCAAATCAAAAACAAAGAAGAGAAGAAAGCTTACCGCCAAAATTAACAAGAGCAGGCATGGTTGAATCTCAAGGAAGAAACTTCTCAAAGAAACTTCAAATACCAAAACGCAACACCCAACAATGCAAAACGTTAGGAAAACGCAGATCAAGTATACCCTTTGAAAGATTGAGTGCATCAGAGAACTTTGTTTAGAAGGGGGGAAAATCCTAAACCCCACAACGTAGGGCAAAAATAAAGAGATTGGAAAGAAGAGAAAAAGGGGGGAGAAATTGAAGGAACTTGTTTTTGTTGAGCTGAAACAGAACATAAGAGCCTGTATATATTAGACTGGAGAAAACAAGGAAGATGTGGAATTTTCCATTTTTAAAAAAATATTAGTTTAATTTTAATGATTTTGTTTCAGATACATTAACTGACAACGTCTGTACATGCAATGTATCTTTCCACATAACCAGATTATTCTTTTCTTTTCTCCCACTTTCTTTAGTCCAACCAAACAACCGGCTAACCCCATTTGCCTCTTGTGGGAAAATTCTTTGGATTTGAAATTTAATATTTAATATGTAGTTTTTAAGATAATTATACAAAATATATCAATACAATTATTATAATATACAATAGGAATATAACTAGGGTAAAGTATAAAAATGGTCACTGAACTTTTTAGATACTTGCCTTTAGGTCTGTCAACTTGTAAAACTTACAATACAGTCACCAAATATTTAGTTCGTTTGCAATATGGTCCCCGACGTAACATCTGTTTTACTGTCGTTAGGGTAAATTATATAAATGGTCATTGAAATTTTCAGTTGCTTGCATTTAAGTCCTCCAACTTTTAAAACTTGCAACACAGTCATCAATTACATTCTAAACCCAAAATCCAAAATTTAACCAACTATAAGTGAACATAAGTGATTATGTTAGCTTTAGGGTTTAGGGTTATATTGGACCTAAATACTTAATTCAGTTTATAAAATAGTTGGCTCAATTTTTTTTTTGATTTGAGTTTATAAAATTTAAATTAAGTCGAATTGAATTGAATTTTCGAGTTTTTGTTCAAATTTAATTATAAATATTTATCATAGTATGATATTATTTGATTCTAATTTAGTTCAGTTTATAAAATAGTTGACTCAAAAAATTCGATTTGAGTTTATAAAATTTAAATCAAGTCGAATTGAATTTTCGAGTTTCTGTTTAAATTTAATTATAAATATTTATAATACTATAATATTATTTGATTCTAATTTAAATAGTTTTTTAACCATATACTGATATACAATACATATTTTTCTTCATATTTTTCCATATATGATATACATATATCATACAGAGTCAAGTGACTTGACTCAGACTTAAAAATTAATCCACTAATTACTAAAATTTTTGAAATATTCGAGTTGTATTTTACAAATTGATTTTAACTTGATTTTTTTAAGTTGAGTTTATGAAATTACAACTCAAAGTCAATTTGTATCAAATTTTTTGAATCAATTCAAGTCAAAAAATATTTTTTCGAATCGAATTGAGTATTGTTCACTTATAATTGGTTAAATCTAACTTTTAAATCCTAAACCCAACATAATCACTTATTGTTATGGACCCAAAATGAACTAAATGTTGTTGATTATGTTGGGTTAATTGGTGGGAAATTTAGCATTTAGGGTTATGTTTTACTAGTTTAGGGTTGTTATTTCAAGTTCAATTTGTTATGGCAGATTTTGAGAATGTATTATGAATTTGGGGTTGGGGTTGGGGTTGGGCATGTAATTGATGTATTTTTGGAATTTGAGGTTTAGAATGTAATTAAAACATTTTGAAATTTGGGGTTTAGAATGTAATTGATGATTGTGTTGTAAGTTTTAAAAGTTGGGGGGCCTAAATGCAAGCGCCTGAAAAGTTCAGTGACCATTTATATAATTTACCCTAACGGCAATGAAACGGTCGTTACGTCGGGATCATATTGTAAACGAACTAAATGTTTGGTGATTGTATTATAAGTTTTAAAAGTTAGGGGACCTAGATGCAAGCATTTGAAAAGTTTAGTGACCATTTATATACTTTACCCTTATAACTAATATAAGAGGTTAATCGCATCATATGTCCCGAAACTATAACCCTCTTTTTAAATTAGTCTTTAAACTTTTGAATATTTCAATTTCATCCTCAAACTATGAGTCTCATTATAAATTAGTCATTAAACTTTTTAACATTCTAATTTTCATCCCTAAACTATAACCCTTTTCCTAAATTAGTCCCCAAAATTTTGAATATTCCAATTACATCATCAAATTCATCCAAATATGTACTTGGTTTCAACCATAGTTTAACATATTTTTTCAAACATGTAATAATATAACTTGGTATAACGATTTATTAACAAGGGATGTGATTAGTATATGCGTATGATTTGGGATGAAATTGGAATTTTCAAAAAGTTTGGGGATTAATTTAAAATAAAAATCATAGTTTGAGGATGAAGTTGAAATGTTCAAAAAGTTTGAAGACTAATTTAGAATGGTAGTCATAGTTTAAGGATGAAATTTTAGGGAGCATTTTAGAAAGGATGATCCTACTTTGAGGAGACGTAATGCAATTAACTCTTAATATAATTGTATAATTATAACCAAATTAATTATAAATAATTAGAATTCATCACTATCTAAAATAAAATAATTCTCTATAAAATTTATACATGATAAAATCAAAATAGATCTAAACAAAAAATCTAATATTGAATAACCTAAAGATCTATTTTTTCTCTCTCTCGATTCTAAGACTTCGTTTTGATTAATTTAGATCGATCTACACCGCATCGCATATTTGATTTTGATAAACAAGTCTCTCAACAGGAATTTGTTATCCTTTAATAACTCATTTGACAAAACTAGATTAGTAAATGTTACCGTTATAATTTATATATTTTAGTTTCAATTCGAGATTATTTAATATAAAGTAAATTTGATTTTTTATTAAATTTAATTATTTAAAAAGATGTTGAATTACTCGAATACTATTCATTAAACAAATTTGTCTTTGAAAAGGAGTCGGTAGTATTGATTTGAAGTAGCATAGAATAGAAAAGAGTGCACATTGCATGCAATATTCTCGCGGTTTATGAATATGATAATGTCAAGCTAAATCGGGAAGTTCTACAGTTCAGCACCCTTAATATCAGTTAAGAAAATATATTATCGATTTTGTTATTATTTTTTTAAAAAATCGGTAAAAAATTATCTAAAATATTATTATTTCTACCTAAAATATTAATATTTTTTAACAATTTCAGTAAAGTGCCTAAAAATAACAAAACCAGTAGAAAAATAGCAAAACCGGTAGCGTTTTACCTGATTTATTAATAAAACCGGTAAAATGTCCAATAATAACAAATCTTTTAGAAATAATAATGTTTCCGGTAATTTTTTACCGATTTTGTTAAAAAAATAATAACAAAACCGATAGTACCTTTTTTTAAATTATTAGTTGGATTAATTAATGTATTTATTTTTATTTATTTTTATTTTAGGGTAAAGTATACAAATGATCCCTCAACTATAGGATATTACTTTATTGAGTCCCTCGAATATCAAAAATTATAAAATGATCCCCCAACTATAAGATTTTTTTAGTCTCTTGACTATTAAAAGTTGCAAAATGGACACCGAACTAATTCATTATGTTCTAAAATTCACCATTTTTCGTAAAAAAAAAAATTGACGACAGTCTGAGCTGGATGTTGATATACTCTCTAAGATATGATAAAGTCTGATATCGGAATCTCAAAAGACTATCATATTCAGACAAGGCATTAACATCCAACTCAAACTGTTATTAATTTTTTAATGAAAAAGACGAGTTTGGAATATAATGAATAGTTGGGTGGCCATTTTGTAACTTTTAATAGTCGAGGGACTCAACCAAGCAACATCTTATAGTCAAGGGATCATTTTATAACTTTTAATAATCGAGGGAATCAACAAATTAATATCCTATAATAGGGGCCATTTGTGTACTTTACCCTATATTTTAAAGATGTTATTAATTACAAACTTATATGAATCATAGAACAAAGATGAATGATTAAAATAAAAACAATTGGTTAATAAGAAAATATAGGGAGATGAGAGTGTGATGGGGAAAGAGCAAGTTGTGTTTATTATGTGTGATTAATTGTATTTAGCCTCTCTCAACTCATACATTCTCCCAGGTTTCCAGCTAAGCCAACTTTGGAGTTCTGAAATCCACCTGCTTTCCTTCTAATTATATTTCATAATTACCCAACTTGATCTTTGCAAAATGCTAATCATGCTTTACCCATTAAACTAATATTATGTCAATCAAACCCCCCGAGTTTTTTTTTTAATTCAACTATACTAGATATTTCGGGGTTCAATTTGATTTAAAAATTGTTTGACGGTTCAGATTGATTAGAAGAATACTTCATCTATTAGGTTGAAATTTAAACTTAATCTTTTATGCAAAAATTTTAATTTGACATGATTTGAATATTTTTAATTTTATTAATTTATTTAAATTGGAAACAGTCATTAAATTAATGACGTTAATTTTTTCTATAAGAAAGTTTATTTAGATCATCTTTATTATAAGAACTAAAAAATCATATTATTAATTTAACATACTAATAATATCAAATAAAAACATAAAGATTAAACATAAATCAAATGATCTTAGTGATAAAAAAATTGTTGCTAATTTTTGAAACATAGAATTTAAATACTTTAAATTTTAGAAATATAAATGTTAAATATCAAATAATTAAGAGTTATCGAAATAATTATATTTGAAAGTTGGAGTATCATTTGGTACAAGAGAATGAAGTCAGTAGAAAGATTACGGATTTTATTTTTCCTTTTTTTTTTGCATTAATTTAATTAATTAAAAAGGAGTACGGTGCCTCTTAAATTAATTATTTTAATGCATTTAATATATGAACTGCAGAATATTGTCAAAGTAGAATAATTCTTTCCATCATTTCCTTCCAGGCAACTTCAACCTTATTTTCTTCATATTCCCTAAACTTTTTCTTTTTAAAATATATATAATAAACATAAATTGTATTATATATTTATAAAAAATATTATATAAAAATATTAAATTATACCTTAATCAATGTTTTTTTTTCTATAAGCCTATTATTAGTAGGGATGTCAATGAGTTGGATTAGTTCACATTATTACTCCATTCGAATTTAATTAAAAAATTAAAATTATTTACTCGTATATAATCTTATTGGGTGTTTAAGAGGGTCTCACC